TAGAAGGTGAGGGGAGAGACGGCTTGCATAGTTGTGAATCTGGGAGGGTTGATCAGTCGATTTTTTCTTCTACGATTGGTCTCTTGGTGTATGGTTTGGGAGCTTGGGGTGGGTGTCTGGCGGACTCCGCTTCGCGCTGGAGTCTGTGGTGTAGTTGCACTAAGCCACACTACCCCGCGGATAATTACAAGGGTCGCATAGTGTTTCTCACCTCTTTAACCACTGTATTATGATCTCTAAGATCTGGGCTTGGTGCCCAGTTCCCCGAATTTGGCGGTGGTCGGCGGGGTGGATTGGAGGTCAGATAGGCCAGGACCTCGACATTGGTCAGGACAGCGGTTTGAGGGTCAATGATCTAAAATAGATTGTTAGCAGCAATCTTGAGCTTCAGCTTAGATATCTTACCCTCATTTTGTGTGTTCAAAGTGGCAAGACAGACTGAAGCAAATGGGTGCCTGGTCTGAAAAGAGGAAAATTGTTTGAACTGCCGGCAGAATATAGGCGGTGTCTTTATCTACCTGCATATCCTGGCCAAATCGAGGTGTACGGAGGAGCCAAGGCAGCGGAGTTGAGACTTGAACAGAGTTGGCCGAGACTACAGTTTGCGATACTTGTGCCTGCATCTTTACATTCCAGTATTGAAGTATGAACAGATTATTCCAGCTAAAACTGTACTGCCTTGTTCCTAACGAGCACCCTCTGCGCCAGTGAAAGACCGGTAGATCAACCTCAAAATGCCCCAAAACATGCGAGCAACAGGAAGATTGCAACAAAAAAAAAGAACAGAAATGAAAAAAAAGTGTGATATCATACAGATCCCAGGAAAGCCATCCGGTCACATTGCACAAACTTTTGAAAATGTACGCTTACTCTCCCTTGGACTTCTTCTTCTTCTTCTTCTCGTCTTCATCTTCGGAACGCTTGCGCTTCTTTCCATCGTCCTTGCTGGACTTCTTGGCCTCCTTTTTGGACTTCTTCAAGTCCTTCTTGCTGATTGAGGTGGGGTTGCCTTCTTTATCGAAGGCGATCTCGCCACGCTCGAGCTTCCGCTCGTATCGCTTTACGCTGAGACCAGCCTTAGCAGCCATCTCCTCAATGTCGCTCTTCTTGGACTTCTTCTTGGGGGCTTCATCCTCGGACTCATCAGAATCCTCAGCCTCCTCATCAGAGTCGGCATCAGCCATCTCCTCATCCTCAACCTCCTCGACGAGCTTCTTCTTCTCCTTCTTAGACTTCTTGACAGCGGCAGGCTCCTCGGAGGCCAGGGCATCGGCATCGGGGTTGTACTTGCGGGCTTCCTTCAGGTCGAACTTCTCGGCCTGAACACCGTTGGGCGCAATGGCCACACCGCGGGGCTTAATGGGCTTGCCCTCCATACCAGCAAGCTTGCGCTCGAGGTTGAAGCGGGCCTCGGTACCGAGAGCAGCCTTGTCCTCCTCGGTGGCATCATCACCCCACTCGGCGAGGGAGTCGACACGGATACCCAGAGAAGCCTTGGCGGCGAGGATACGGGCCATCTTGCCCTTGTTGCGGCCGGTGGCCTGGCCGATCAAAGAGGCGTGGTAGATCAGACCGTACTTAGGAGTGTCGTGCTTAGTCTTAAGGGCACGGAAAAGGGCCTTCTCAGCACCCAGAATCTGGATGGTACTAGCGGGGCTCTTGGACAAGCTGGTGAGGGAGCCAGCGTGGGCAATAAGACGGGCACCAACGAGATCACCGACAAGGGCAGTCAGGTTTGGTGCGATGGCGTTCATGCGGGAAGTGAGGTAGCTGGCGAGCTGGGAGCGGTAGTCGTAGAAACCAACGACCTGCTCAGCGAGAGCCTGAATGTTCTCCAAATCTTCGGGGCTGATCTCGGTACCCATAGAGCGATCGGCAGCAGCCTTGACGGCACCCTCGATCTCCTCGGGGAGGATCTCAGCAAGATCAGCGGACTCCCAGTTGGAGCGCATACCCATTTTCAAGACGAGCTTGGCGTAGGCAATGTTGTCGTTGAGGATCTTAGCCAGCTCGGGGAAGTGCCATCCGTACCATTCCTTGACACGCATAGCGTAGGTGTTCAGCTCCTTGTCAAGATCATCGAGCAGACCAATGGCCTGGACGATCATAGTGTCGATCTTGTCGGGGGAGAACTTGAGCTTGTGACGGGCGAGAGAGTGGGAAAGACCAAGGGACATGGTAGACATATCACTGGGGGCAAGGCCGGGAATGAGGGTGGTGAGGTGCTCACGGATGGCACGGAAGATGTCGTTGGTGCTGGAGTCAGCAACCAATTGGATGTCAAGACCGGGAAGCTTGCTGATAGAGTTTCCTATCCAAAACCACAGTCAGAATGCATACCGTGGGAAGTCGTTTCACTAGAATGACCTACCGAGCTTGGTATCGGCAACGGCGAGGGACACCTTCTTCTCATCCTTGATTCCATCAAGAAGCGAGGCCAAGGCGGGTGTAACCTTGCCCTCCATGATGGAGGCAGCCTCCTCCAGAGCTGAGGCAGCGCTGTCGAACTTCTGGAAGCTCTTCAACTTGAGACTAGAGACTCTGTTAGTGACATTGTCGTCGATAACAATTTTTTTGCGCCCGTTCAGCTAGTCGGTTCATTCCGATACGGATTTTTTTTCATTTGGCAGGATTGAAAGACACAGTTGACATACAGGTTGGAGACACCCTCTGCAGTGGAGGCCTCCTCGGCGATATCATCACGCTTGAGGAGTTTCTTGTCCTTAGCCTTCAGCAGGGCATAGCCCGCGCTGGTCTCAGTAAGGATGAAAAGCGTCATGGTGCGCGGCCACGGCGTTTAGGATCGAAAAATAACAGAAAAGAAGAAACTAATCAAAGCAAACGATAAACCGAACTGAGGAAATTGTGGGAAAAATAATTAGCGTAGGGCGTGTCGGCCACCGGTGTCGTTGGAGAAATTGAATCTAAATTTGCACGGAAGAAAAAAAGTTGAAAAGCGGGTGCCACGAGTGGCTTGGGCGTGTGGCTTTGTGAATGACTAAGCCAATGCGTGTTTAAGGACGGATGGAGCTACAGTTGGGTCTCTCCAATCATCTTCTCCACAGTCATCATGGAGGGCCTATTCTTTAATGTTAACGGCGGGTATGTAGTATATATTTGTGCTTGGTCTAAATGTCCCGTTGTTGACTCTTTTAGATATGTCGAGGGCATTGTTCGCGGCTATCGGAACAGCCTGTTGAGCGGCCAGAACTATTCAAATCTCACTCAATGCGAGACAATTGACGGTACGCTCTACTGATCCCACAGACCATTTTTCAGATTCTATTTCTGCATGCTGATTCTGACAAACTCATCCAATAGATGTCAAGCTCCAGCTTGCTCCCTCATATGGCGACTTCCTTGCCTCTCTTTCCCCCAACCCCTCCACCTCCGATTTGGCGAGCCGCATGACCGATAAATTGGTGTCTGAGTTCAGGTACCTGGTCGCACAAGCGACCGGCTCATCTGCCAAGTTCCTCGAATACATGACATATGGATACATGATTGACAACATCGCCCTGTTGATCACAGGCACTTTGCATGAACGAGACACCCGAGAACTCCTGGAGCGATGCCACCCACTAGGATGGTTCGAAACACTCCCTGTGCTATGTGTTGCGACAAACATCGAGGAACTGTACAACTCTGTACTGATTGAGACCCCACTAGCTGCCTACTTCAAGGATAGTTTGAGCCACCAAGACCTGGACGAACTGAACATCGAGATCGTTCGCAATACCCTTTACAAAAACTACTTAGAAGACTTTTACAACTTCATCAACACCCACCCGGACTTCAGCGGTACACCTACACAGGACGTCATGGCGGAGATTCTGCAGTTCGAGGCGGACCGCCGCTCTATCAACATCACTCTTAACTCCTTTGGCACCGAGCTGTCCAAGCTCGAGCGCAGGAAGTTGTACCCGGAATTTGGCAAGCTTTATCCGGAGGGCAGTCTTATGCTTTCCCGCGCAGAGGATGTTGAGGGTGTGGCCTTGGCTGTAAGCGCTGTGGCCGATTACAAGGCGTTCTTCGATGCCGTGGGCCTTAGCCAAAGTAGCGGCGGTCTCGGTGGTATGGGCGGAGGTCCGGCAGATGGGAAGAGCTTGGAGGATCTTTTCTACCAAAAAGAGATGGATCTGTCAAAGCTGGTTTTCACCCGTCAATTCACCCCTGCTGTGGTGTACGCCTGGATGAAGCTGAAGGAGCAGGTAAGCCTCTCGGAACCAGTCCGTCTAATTTTGAGTATACAACTAACTCCATCCAGGAAATCCGAAACATCACCTGGATCTCGGAGTGCATTGCTCAGAACCAGAAGGAGAGAATTGGAAACTTCATCTCTGTTTTCTAAGCCTGACTCGTGCACCCTATGATTTTCTGTCTTCTCACCTCTTTGTACTTACCCATCTTCCTGGCTGGTATTTTGCTTTGATTGCCAGCCGCTTTTCGTTGTCTCGAGTACCCAGTTTGTTCTTTTAACGTGAGCGCATCGACCTCTTTTTCTTTGATCGGGACGTTCCGATCATCTTTGATGTTGGCTGTGTTGCTTTTCTCTCTCTCTTTTTTGTAAAGGTGTTTGCATATGCTTAACTTTTCCCTTGTGGCATAGAAGCACAAAATTCCCCCGGTATGTTTCTTTGAATTTTGTTAGTGAAGGGGCTTTCCTATTTGGGCTACTTAAATGGCTTCAGGCCGCTCAGTAGATGTCAGCATGGATGCTCGGGTCACGTGTAGACCTACTCCAGCAAGTGAATGTGTGGAACGAAATACAGCGTACTTTACCACTAGATCATCACAAAAACCAAGGTTCCTGTTTATGGCCTAGAGGGGCCATATTCGTGGTTTGACAGAATGCTCCCGTCATTGGTGCAGCGGGTGCTGGAGGTGCGTCCATTGCACTTAGCCCACCGTACGGACTACTTTAATGTACCATAAGACCGTGGACCCGCTAATCTGAGGATCATTTCTAAATGTATAAAAGTGCAAAACAGTCACGGGCCTTAAGCCTTCACGATCCCTACAACCTCCCCCAAAGAATCAACCACAAAATCCGGCGTCAATTCCTGACAAGCCTCTCGGTCTCCGTACCCATACCGACACCAGCAGACCTTGCTCTTAATGTTCCTCGCGAACTGAATATCCGCTACTGTATCACCCACCACCAGTACGCTGCCCGAATCAAGCTCCTCCAGCCCATATCTCTCCTTCAGGACGGAAACCAGCACATCGATGAAGCTAGCAGGATCCGGCTTGCGTTTCGCCCCGGGCGTCTTATCGCCGATGATTAAATCCTCGGGCACGTAGCAATTCAGACCATTCCGCTGCAGGGCCGTTTTCACAGCGGCTACGCCTTTGTTGCTGACGATGGCGATGGGGATCTTGTGGGCATTGAGTTCGGCCAGGAGATCCTTGGCGCCGGGGAAGGCCTTAATGAGCAGTTGACCATGGGTAGCATAGAGAGCGCGGTATTTTTCAATCCACTCGTTCTCAGCAATCGGAGTGACTTCCGCTGGGGAAGGATGTAGGACTTTAAAAGTATCTGCTAGGCCGGCGCCGCTGGCAATGAGACAGTGGATTTCAGATTGGGGAGGAGTGTGGGCGGGAAAGAGGGCGTCAAAGGTGAGTTTTATGGTTTGGGAGATGGATTCATGGGTATCGAAGAGAGTGCCGTCAAAATCGAAGATTGTGAGGGCTATCATCTTACTGAGTGTTTAAAAGATGGTGTGATTCTTAGTTGTGAATTTGCGTGGCAGTGTAGAGGGGCTCGAGTAGATAAAGATTACAAGGCACTACCACAACTAACCCCCCCTCCCCAGTGAATTCTTGAAAAACAAAAGGACTCGGAAAATGAGTTAGACTGTTCTAGGGAAGTTGCAGCAGCGTACATCGTTACGTGGCTTATGCCACTAATATGATGTGACTTTTAAATAGTGTAGATACGAACCACATACTGGTTTTATAATACAATACATTGATGACAATTATAACAAAGATTATAATGGCTTCTCGCCAATGCAAGGCAGTAGGCCCTAATTATGCTTGTAGTTTAGGCTCTGCGATTACCATTACTCATTGTAAAATGCACGATTATGGTATGCAGGCCCAAATAAGACAAGAACCTATATACACATATACACGACGTACAAATCACCTTCTCGGGCACAAAGTCACTATAGCCATCTACACTTGAACTCTGTATACCAGTTATAACCCCCTCAACTTTAATATGACAAAGACAGAAGAAATGATGGCTGTCTCGGCTCCTATCAGCGAACTCCCTCAAACCCAAACCCTCACCACTCTGTTAACTTACGCAGCCAAATCCCACAACCAAACCCTCACCCGATCCCACACAACAATAATCCCCATTCTCCGCGGAGCCTTGCCCATGTTTGTCGCCGCGCAGCCCCTCCTCCCCGCCACCTCGTGCATTCTAGCCCGCTGAAGCAAGACAAAGGACACGCAGGATGTAGTGGGTGGACTGGCTAGGCCGACGACGGGAGGATCGTGCTCCTCAATACAATCATTGCACCCGGGGATACGATTGTCAAGCTCTGCGAGGAATTGTGGGAGATGGGTGGGGAGCAGCCAAGGTCGGTTGTAGTATTGTGTACGTATGCAGCGCCCGAGGCATTGGAAAGGGTAGCCTGCTGTCCGGTGGTGGAGTATGTGGTTGTTGGAAGGCGGGCTGAGAGGTGTGATGAGAACGGGTATCTGGTTCCATATACGAATGGGGATATATGTGCTCCCGAGAGGGTTATAGGGTTTACATACTCTCGGTGCCTGAGGCCGCTGCTTAGCGGCGCTTAGGCTGGGATAAGACTGTGCGCAGCAACAGCTCGGTTGAGAGTAGACTTCCGCAAAACCCAACTTTGGGCCCAAGGTCCGGGCTCGAAACCCGACCCGCAACGAGCTGGGGGTCGAACTTTTCAAGCTCGACCCGGACCCCGGCTCGCAGGGGGGGGGCTCGAAATTGCTAAAACATGGTCTTGGCGTCCATAAAATGGCTGAATCACCCAAATAAATGACCGTCTTTTACCCATGTTTTGGTTTATACATGGGATTCTACTCGATTATCATAACAAGTAAGGGGAAATATTTGGAAATTCTAGTGAATAGATACATGTCTTTGATACATTAGCATTATAACTTAGCTTTATGACTGTACATATCAGTTTGTTTGGAATGTTCTACGCTTATGAGGTATTACCTATAGAGATATATATTCTGAACTAGGAACTATGTGTATCTTAATGGTCGAGTATCAATATCAGACCAATATCAATTATAAGTGGCTTAACTTGTTCGAATTTTGTATTAAAAGAAAGTCTACACATTAATCATTTCTAAGAGCCTTTTGTATTATTAGTCCTAATAGTTTTAAATGAGCTACCTATATTTAAAACTTTCTCATGGCTAATCAGTTAAAACATTTTGAGGAAAATCAAGTTCCAAACGAGCTGGGAATGGGCCGGGAATGGGCTATTCATGGGCTTTTTACGGGCTCTTAATGGGTTTTACGAGCTTCAGGGGCTTTTTTCGAGCCGGCCCCACTTATTATATACAATTCAACTAATCATATACTACCATCATCACCCTCTATTTTGATCTATCGATTATTGATTTAACTAGTTAAGTAACACTTCTAGGTGGTAGAGCTTCTTGTAATGTATCGACCCTCCTTTATGCATTCTCAAGAAGCGAAGCAAATATACTCAACATTCAATTTCTTAATTACTAGGTCTAAATCCCCGCCTTTCAGATTTGAGATCTGGCCTCTGATTGGTGATAGAATTTGCCTATCACGTGACCTCCGCAATACGGGCCGTTTATCCGGATCCGGTCCGTATTATATATGATCCCCCTAACCCTATGCGCATGTCACGGTGC